TGTGTACCCTTTGCCTACTAATCTTGCTTTGTACCTTTCAACTATTCCATTTGCCTTGTGCTTAACTGTGAACACCCATTTGCACCCCACGGGTTCTTTCCCCTCTAGAGGATCCACCAATTCCCAAGTCTGATTTTTGTGGAGGGCATCAATCTCCTCCTTCATGACATCTATCCATTCAAGGTATTTTAAGGTTTCTGCAACATTCTTGGGAATAGGGATGCAATCAACTGCCGATAGTAAGGCTCGGTACGAGGGAGAAATGTGGTCATAGGAAACAAAGTGAATAATGGGGTGTTTGGTAGTATAGGACCTGACTCCTTTTCGTTGGGCAATAGGGATGTCTAGGTCGTCCACAATGGGAGTAGGGTTAGGGGTTAGACTTACCTCCTGGGATTCTGATGATGTCAGTTGCTCAGTGTTTGGTTGCTCCACATTTCTATCACACTGTTGATCTCTCCGACGAGTACGTTGGAAGACACGGAAGAGAGCGGGGTTCGGAATAGAAGGAAGATGTACCTGAACCTGCTTCTCCTCTTCCACACTACGGCTCTCCCCCTGAGGAGGAGGGAAGAATGGCTCGGACTCAAAGAAGGACACATCCATAGACACAAAAAATTTACGACTAACCGGGTCAAAACACCGATACCCTTTTTGAGAGGATGGGTATCTCGGATAGACACAAGGAATGGACCGAGGGTCTAACTTACCTCTGGAGGGAGACAAATCATGGACAAAGGCCCGACAACCAAAGACTCTCATGGGGATGGAAAATAAAGGAGACTGAGGGTATAATAACTGATGATGGGCCATGTACTTCAATACTCTGGAGGGCATGCGGTTGATGACATACGCAGTTGCAAGTATAGCATCCACCCAAAACCTTTTTGGGACATTCATGTGTAACATCATCCCGCAGGCTACCTCAAGGAGGTGTTTGTTTTTCCTTTCTGCAACACCATTTTGTTGTGGTGTTCTGGCACATGAGCTTCTATGAATAGACCCATGGGAGGCGAAAAACTCATTGAGCTCCCCATGGAAGTATTCATTCACATTATCGGATTGGAAGATCTATATTTCAACATGGAACTGCGTGAACACCATCATCTAGAAGTCTTTCACTATCTTTGGAACCTTGTCTCTGCTACGCATAGGGATTACCCATGTATAGCGAGAGTAATCATCAATCAATGTAATAAAGTACTTATATCCGCCCTCAGAGATCACATTTGTAGGCCCCTATACATCAGAATACACAACATGAAAATGAACATTTGATCTTTTATTGCTTGAATGAAAGGTTGTTCTACATCGTTTACTCAACTGACACATTTGACACATGAACTCTGACACTGAACATGACTTAAATAAAAGTGGAAACAAACATTTTATTATTTTGAAAGAAACATGACCTAAACGACTGTGCCATAACAAAATTTGACTCTTATTTGACTAACTATGCGACTCTGAGGATGACACGGAGAGACCAGCTTTGTTGTCGAGAATGTAGAGACCGTCCACTAGGCTTCCTCTACTAATCGTCATCCCAGAAGTTAGATCCTAAAATACACACAAGTCAGCAAAAAAGGTCACACTACAATTCAAGGAGTTTGTAATGCTACTAATTGAAAGCAAGTTTATGGGAAGTTGAGGGACATGCAATACACAATTCAGGTTGAGGCCATGGGGAAGGGATATTGATCCTTGACCTGCAATGGAAGAAAAAGAACCATCTGCAAGTCCCAATCCCTTCCTGACAAAAGACTATAAGACTGGAATAAGTTAGGCTTACCGGTCATGTGATTTGAGGCCCCTGAGTCAATGATCCAAGGGGAATATGTGGGAGTGACATGGAATGCAGAAGCCACATTACCTGAAGTAGATGCAAAAGAAGTAGAGGGAGTACCCGTGACTGAGTTGTCCATTTGCCGCAATGCCCTACCATAAGATTCCAAATGCTCTCTGAATGAATTCATTATATCCTCCTTGGGGTCAGGCTTATTAGGGGGGTCCCGGGTACTACCGGCAACTTGAGTGTCTTGAGTTGCCACATTTGCTGTGCTTGTTCTTTTCAACCGACCTTTACCCTGTTCTTGATTCTTTGCTGCCCACTTGGGTTTCCCATGGATGTCCCAACAAGTGTCACGTGTATGTCGTGACCGTCTACAATGGGTACAAAATAGTTTATCTTTATCATTTGCCTTCTTAGGATCACCTTTCTTTCTTGTTGAACTGTTATTCATCGCAGCCAAGACAACTTGTTGCTCCCCCTCAGCTGTAACCATCACACTCCGCCTGCTTTCTTCAGATTAGACAAGGGAGTATACTTCGTGTACCGTAGGCAATTCTTTGCTTCCTAGGATCTACACCCTCAATGGTTCATATACAGGGTTCAACCCTAACAAGAAAGCAAACACTCATTGCTGAGAGACCAGCTTCCTGTAGGCCTTAACATCACCATCGTGCTTCCACTCTATGGCCTGATAATGGTCCAACTCCTTCCATATGAAGGTAGGGGCTGAATAATATGAGGACAAGCTACAGTTTCCCTGTTTACATGTTGAGGACTCAACTTGCAATTGGTAAACCTTGGCGTAATGCCTTTGCTCAGAATAGGTAATTCTGGCATGTTTCCAGATCTCACTAGCGGTGTTTGCCCACATAAAATTCTTTTTCACATCAGRTTCCATGGCTGCGAGGAGCCAAGACATCACCATACTGTTTTCTTGGTCCCACCTATCATGTTCGGCCATCTCACCCTCGGGTTCTTTCACCCTTCCATTGATGTAACCAGCCTTACCCCTTGTCGTTACATAGAGTTTTACACTCTTAGCCCACTCTAGGTAGTTCAGACCGTTCAAGGGAGTAATTGGCATGGGAAAAACCATGTTTTCACCTCCCATACTTGCTGTGTTGCGGGTTGGTGTATTCCTCGGTGAGGTTAATTCATGACTTGCCATTGAATACTACAAAAAACCAGTCCAAATGCCACCCAACAGCACAACCGCCACAACTAGAATGTGGTAACTCAAGGTTTGCTCCTAAAATGTGAGCAACAAATTATTGAAAATTGCTAGGACACAGGGTCTACTGCTGAGAATAAGGGTTCAGTCAATACAACGTCCAAACAGAACAGTAAACAATCCGGTCATCGGTTCAGCACCACAAATAAAGACATTACTGTCAGTCTGAATGTGGTTCCCCCACTCTAACCATCCAAAGTCCAAACTAGTAATCATATAATCAAGGCATGAGCCCTATGCACCATTGGATAAAGAGAACTGAAACAAACTGAAACAAAAACACACCTGTTTAGCACTGGATAACCGAGGAGTTTGCACCATCAACACCCTTCTTTGATTAGGGTTTCATTGCACCAACACCACCCTATGGCCAGAAACTGCTAGGGTTTCTCAGAAAAACACCGCTAGGGATCACTAGGGTTTCAACAGAAGTAGCCGCCAGAACTTACTAGGGTTTCTGCAAATACAGCCGCCAGAGAGGACTAAAAAACAAGCTGCCGCTAGGGTTTCTATAGGTACAGCTGCTAGAGTGAACTGAGACAAGCCACCGCTAGGGTTTCTGTAAAGGTAGCCACGTTCAATCACTTTTAGAAAGGCTGAAGCTAGGATCATAGGTCTCTTCCAATCCAGAAAGCCTGCTCTGATACCATGTGGTCGCTTGTGGTGATTGAGAGAGAGAGAGAGAGAAAGAGAGGTACGGATGAGAGGAGAAAAAATCAGTACTGGCTGTCGCCAGTTTTCTATTTATATTAATCTTTATAAAAGAGATGAAATTACAAGTATGCCCCTGGCGGCATATCCTAGAATAAGAACAATAAGAAAAGAAAGAAAAAAGGGCTAGTAGTTGAAACTGTCCTACTAACAACAGCTATAAAGAACAATTAAGCCTTACAACAGGAACAAACCATAAATTTCCCTTTAATATATCTTTTAATCACTTTAGAAGGCAAATTGCTAATCTTATCTATCCTTTCCGTGGCACTTTGGGTTTAATCAAAAGAGGCGTTCATCCTTATCCTCGAGGTTTAAATAAAATGATCTTTATCAAGTTCACATGCTAACAAGCTAAGAGTGTTCAGAGAGCTAAGTAGGTCGAAGTGGATTTTTCATCTGGGCTGGGCATCACTGTTGAGGATTATAGCTTGTAATAGATGTCAATACTAACGGGATTCAGCAGATTTGTGGACTGATTCATTAATCAGATAGGAATTTTGAAGTCATTTGTGACAATTTGCCCTTTTTTGTTGTAATAAAATAAATAAGACAGTGGCCTCAAGACCAATGGTTTGCATGAACTTTCTCCAAAGAGCAGGTTGCGGTTTACATACCTACGCTGGGAAGGGATGTGATCTAATGATTTTAACGATATAAAAAATGGGAGTTTCCAAAGGGAAATGTTTTTTTTTTTCTTTCTGTTTGTTCAATTCAGTATGTACTGACAATTACATTGAGAGGGGTTCACTGATACATTGTGATATTTTGAACATTTGCCCAACTGTATTCATAGTTATCTGACCCTGTATATATATTTAACTATTGTTTGGGATTAACAGGTTTTGATAATTTGGGTTAGGCTTTCTATTTCTTTTAGGACAATAAATTAGGTTGGATATGTAATTGAAAAATCCACTTCACTGATTGGACCATGAACAATAAATTTGTTTTTTACATACCTAACAAAAAAATGTCAGCATTGATTAGATTTTAAGTTTTTTTTGCCTAAAATAATTGATTTTCCTGTTTATATTCTGGCCTTTGATGCCTATACTTTTAGATGTTAAATTTGTTTTTTCAATTTGGGCTTTTTACTCTTTCATTTTAAGTGAAGTCTATGCATATGATGTCTTACACTTGATCTCTAAGGTAAGTTCATGTGTTGACAAGTACATAGAATAGAAAAAGCTCTGAAAGGTTGCTCTCATTAGAAAGCCTATGGAAGTAGATATCAGCCATGTGATGGTATATGAGGGATTGGCTGCAGTGGACTACTGCTCTATGTCAAATTCTACAAGTCAGAGTTATAAAAGATATTAATGGGAGTTTGGAGACCATACAAACGCAGGTAAAAATCACTAAAGCACCTTGCACAAATATTCCTGCATGATCCAAATATGTTCCCTAACATGGAGGAACATTTTACTTGTTTTTTCTGTTTTTCCCTTTGACCGATTGCAAGCACTTTTTTGTTTTTGTTGTATCTTAAGACCTGTTATTTGGGGTGTGTAAATAAAAGTTAACCCCACTTTACTTTGATATTTCAGATAGAATTGACTGAATCTTCATCACCTGCTTCACTGTCACTGCTATTGCTTCCACTCCCACTCCCACTCTCACTGCTGTTCTCACTACTCCCACTTGAACTTGAAGTCTGCTCATCTCTTTCTTCAGCATTCACTTGAGCCCTCAAGGCCTCTGCAGCATTAGGGCCCTTTTCTGCCTCATCATCACTGACATTGAGGGTTAGAATCTCTAAAGGTAATTCCCCAAACAAATTGTTCTGATAGACATAGAGATGTCTGAGGGTTGGAATCTTCCAAATGCTTATTAGAATCTCTCCAGTCAATTTGTTTGTAAACAACACAAGTTCCTCTAATTTACTCAAAGATCCCAACTCACTTGGAATTTTGCCTTCGAGTTGGTTTTTCTGCAAGAGTAATTCCTTCAAGGAACTACAAGTCCCAATCTCTAGTGGAATTACCCTTGACAAAGAGTTCTCATTGAGGTAAAGTAGCACCAATTTAGTTAGTAATCCAAAGGAAGAGGGGATCTGACCTGTTAATTTATTACCCAGAGCTGACAAGAATCTTAAGCCACTGCAATTGCCCAAGCCTGATGGTATTTCTCCATCAAATTGATTGTAAGTCAAGACCAACTCTTGCAAATTCCTGCAACTACCTGAACCCCCCAATTTTATCTTGCCTTCAAGTCTGTTCGAACTGACATCCAAGTAAGCAAGGAACTGAAGATTGTTCAGGCTCTTAGGCAAAACTCCAACTAACTGGTTCTCAATAAGATAGAGTTCTTCCAATTTAGTACAATTTCCAATAGATTCTGGTATTATCCCTGATAATTGATTACTATAGAGCCACAGAGATGAGAAGGTTTACTGAGATGTTAATGGTAGTGACTCACAACTGAACCGGCAGATGATGTAGTAAACTGCTTGTGTGAAATGAAATCATATCCTTTTATGTTGATTTTTAAGTATGGAAAACATTTAATTTGGACTGGATTGGGTCCAATTCGGTCCATTTGCATTTCAATTGGACTGGACTGGATCCAGTTTGTATGGGATTTGAACCAGATTTGGTCCAGTCCATTTGTAAATGGACCAATGTTGGACTGGACCAGATTGGACCAAATCTAGTCCAATTGACAGCCCTAACCATGGGTCTTGACCTGACGTTTGGATGGGATTGTGGTGAGTTCTGGTGGACCCTGACCCATAAACAGTTGTTGAGACCTAGACCCAAGATTCAGCCTTTAATATAGTCATGTAATCTGTTATGGATGCATTCGTGGGGAAGAAGTACCGCCGCCGGCAGCAGCAGTAACGTGGGACCCTCATCAGATTATCTAGCTAGCCACAGTTCTTCTTACCTTATCCTTATCTTATCTGCCTTCTTACTCTTATCTTATCTGTAAGCAGTTTAGTTAGTCTTATCTAGGAGTCTTATCTATCTTATCTGTAAGCAGTTTAATTATCAAGGAGTCTTCCTAAAAGGGGGACTCTTACCTCTTGTAATCTCCTATTTAAGGAGCTGAAATTATTGAATAAAGATATCAAATTTCTAGTCAATAAAGAGTAAAATGAGAGTTCGGTGATCTCTTGGACAAATCACCCTCTAGGACGCCAAGATAGGTTCAGCTAGGAAGGGGAGGAACAAGGGAAAACAGGAGATTTTCCCCGTGGACCGACCCGTGACGAGATCCTATTCCCGGGCCCATAACAATTTGGTATCAGAGCCTACCGTCATGGAAGATCTAGAGCAGCTATCATCCAGGGTCCACGAACTGGAGCATAGGCTCATGGAAACCAGCGTGGAGGTTCGTAAGGTCAAAGACGATGTCCGGGAGCTGCGACACTTGCTGGAATTGTATTTCTCTAACAAGGAGAGGAATCCAGAAGGGGCTGTAACCACAAACAGCCACTGCCAGACTTGACGGAGTCGTCCGACGAACAACAAGGTCGTCCCCCCAGTAGCCGCGGTCGTTCCCAAGTATAGCAGGCTGGAGTTCCCTTCATACAGCGACGCCGGAGATCCTTTGGGATGGCTGTACAGATGCGAGCAGTTCTTCCGCAACCAACGGACAGGGGACAACGACAAGGTAAGCTTGGTCGCATTCCACATGACGGAGGAGGCGCAACTCTGGTTTTATAAATTGGAGCAAGAGGAACCCGGGCTCAGTTGGACCCAATTCAAATCCTACTGCCTCCTTAGGTTTGGGCCCCCATTGACGAGCAACCCGTTGGGTGAACTGATCAACCTCAAACAGACGGGAACGGTGCCTGAATACTAGCGCCAATTCCAAACCCTCCTTGCCAGAGCAGCTTCGGTACAACCGGACCAGTAGGTAGACATGTTCACCGCAGGGTTAGCAGAACCCTTGAGGGTGGATGTGGAGATGCAACACCCCCCTAACCTGGTTACAACCATGAATATAGCTCACGCCTTCGAACGAAAGATGCAGCCCAGCCGCGGAACCTTCAGTATGGGGCGGCCTCCAACCGCATGGGCATCCCCGAAACCACTCGGAATGGCACCATCTTCAGCAACCAGCCAAGAACGGAAACCACAGGCGAGCCACAATTCCAGATCAGCATCTAGTGAGGGGAGCAACGTTGTTGCACCCCTTATTAAGCACTTGTCCAGGGCTGAGATGGCGGAACGCAGGGCGAGGGGACAATGTTTTAATTGTGATGAACTCTACTCAGCAGGGCACAAGTGCAAGAGACTTTTCTGCCTCCTGGTGGAACAAGAGGACGATGAGGATGAACCCCCTTCATTGGAACCCGATCCAGGAGGACTAAATCATTCCACCTATCTTGGATTCCCTTGACTGAACTCCAAGACACATATCCAGATTTCAAGCTTGAGGACAAGCTCATAGTCCAATCCAGGAGGGGAGTAATGTTATGGACGCATTCGTGGGGAAGAAGTATCGCCGCCGGTAGCAACAGTAACGTGGGACCCTCATCAGATTATCTAGTTAGCCACAGCTCATCTTACCTTATCCTTATCTTATCTGCCTTCTTACTCTTATCTTATCTGTAAGCAGTTTAATTAGTCTTATCTAGGAGTCTTATCTATCTTATCTGTAAGCAGTTTAGTTA